AAGGTCACATTCTGATCACACTTTGTTCACTAAACAGGATAATCAAGGAATTGTAGTAGTTTTGATCTATGTTGATGACTTGATTATCTCTGGAAGTAACAAAGCAGGTATCCAAGCTACCAAGTCTTCTTTACACTCTGCTTTTGATATTAAAGATTTGGGTGTTTTGAAGTATTTCTTAGGGATTGAGGTGTGTAGATCCAAGGAGGGACTGTTTCTCTCACAAAGGAAATACGCTCTTGATCTTCTAAAACTTACAGGAAAGCTTGGAGCTAAACCAGTAGATACACCACTCGAGCAAGGGTACAAGGTCAATCGAAAGGGGGAGAAAGATGACACTCCTTATCATTGCCCCGAACAATACCGAAGACTCGTGGGTAAGCTTATCTACTTGATATATACTCGACCTGATTTATCTTTTGTTGTGAATCAGGTAGCTCAACACATGCAAGCTCCCACTGTTTATCATTGGAGTTTGGTGGAGAGAATTTTGAGATATATCAAAGGAAGTCCCGGCAAAGGCATATGGATGGGAAGAAACTCTAGCACAGAGATTGTTGGATATTGCGATGCAGATTACAATGGGGATCGCAACACAAGACAATCAACAACTGGTTTTTGTACATTCATTGGTGGGAATATTGTGACTTGGAAGTCGAAGAAGCAGAAAGTCGTCTCTTGTTCGAGTGCTGAAGCAGAGTATAGAGCTATGAAGAAACTCACAAACGAGTTAACATGGCTAAAGGCTTTGTTAAAGGACTTTGGGATCGAGCAGAAGACTCCAATCACTTTTCATAGTGACAATCAAGCGGCCATCCACATTGCTACCAATCCCGTGTTCCACGAGAGGACCAAGCACATAGAGACGGATTGCCACAAGACAAGAGAGAAGATAGAAGATGGTACGATTCTCCCTTGTTACACTAAGAGTTCGGACCAATTGGCCGATATCTTTACCAAGGCAGCAAGTAACCAAGTTTGCCAATTTATTCATGGTAAACTTGGTCTTGTAGACCTGACACATCCTTGAAAAATATTCTCCAACTTGTAGGGATAATACTCTTTTTCCCTAAGCTTGGTTTTGTCCCACGTGGTTTTCCAAACTTAGGTTTTTAATGAGGTTATTCATACAAGTGCCAAGTTTATACACAATTGGGCATTGTGGTATAAACTTGAGGGGGAGTGTTAATCAAGAAGACATTTAACACTAACTAAGTCATAGTTAAGGGTTAAATGTAGGTTACTTGGGTTACTCGGGTTACAGGTTACTTGGGTTACTCGGGTTACAGGTTACTTGGGTTACTCGGGTTACAAGTCTGAATGAGGGTGCTATTGGTCTTTGTGCACAACCCATAAACCCTAGAGAATGTGTTCTCATATAAAAGCACTTGTGTGCCTCCACTTTGTAATACAACGTTTATCTTTTAATAACAACACTTTTCCTCTCTACTCTTAGTCATGTTTCTCTCTATTCTTCCCACTTGATTCTTAAATTATTTATAAACCTAATCTACTATCGAGCGATTTCGGTTCAAGATTAATTTCTCATCAAATACGTTAACGACCCATCAGTTTTTTGTTTCCTCATATTTAGTATAGCTAATCAGCAAACCATCTAATTCAGTATCAAACAAAAAAAACTTGTGACAGGTACGGACCAGACCGTCCCAAATACCTAGGACCATTCTCGGAAAACACACCATCATACCTAACCGGAGAATACCCTGGAGACTACGGCTGGGACACCGCCGGTCTGTCAGCCGATCCAGAAACATTCGCAAAGAACCGTGAGCTTGAAGTAATCCACAGTAGATGGGCAATGTTGGGTGCATTAGGCTGCACATTCCCAGAAATTCTCTCCAAAAACGGAGTCAAATTTGGTGAAGCCGTGTGGTTCAAGGCAGGATCACAGATCTTCTCAGAAGGAGGACTTGATTACCTCGGAAACCCTAACTTGATCCACGCGCAAAGCATATTAGCTATATGGGCTTGTCAAGTTGTGCTAATGGGATTCATTGAAGGTTACAGAATCGGAGGTGGGCCTCTTGGTGAAGGACTTGACCCACTTTACCCTGGCGGAGCGTTTGACCCGTTGAACTTAGCGGAGGATCCAGAGGCGTTCTCGGAATTGAAGGTGAAGGAGCTCAAAAACGGTCGTCTTGCGATGTTCCCAATGTTTGGATTCTTTGTTCAAGCCATTGTTACCGGTAAAGGTCCGATAGAGAATCTGTTCGATCACATTGCAGACCCTGTGGCTAACAACGCTTGGGCTTACGCCACCAACTTTGTCCCCGGAAAATAGAGTTTGATCGGATAATTTATGTAAATTATATCTTTTAAGAATTTGTCAATGCACTATATTCTTTCTTTGGTCAGAAATTCTCGTTAGCTATAGCAACTTAGCACAAACACGAAAAGTATACGTTTAAAAGGCTAAAACATGGACGAAAATAAAAAAATGCCAGCACAATCGAAGAATAAGACACTGAACTAAATTATCATGGATAATCATGGATTCAATGGGCCAGGCTAATGATAAAAAAAAACAGAGAGAAACGTATTAAGTTTTGAAAATTTGAGGCTATATCCACTTTCCATGGCTTAAAAAGCATAACTTTTTGGGGGCGGTGAATGTGAAGTGACTCATCTACGAGAAGGATAAATCCAAATATTTCAAAAATCTTAACCAAACCCGTAAAATTGTGCTCTTTGTAGTTTGTCATCTATCAAAAACTACTATCTCTATACTATTAAAAGAGAAGTACAAATGAAAATGGGTCGGGTTAAAATCAGAAAATTGACCCGAAATTCTGAAATCGGATCTTTGAAATTTTTTTGGAATATAAATTCAAATTAATAATGAAAAATCGAATTAAAATCAAATATTTATGGAAATCAAATAAAATCTGATTGTACTTATGATAACTAATAATAAAAGCATATTCCGAACAATATTATACATTAATCACGTATAATAAATTTGTTCATATATTTTTGGGACTAATTCCATAACAATCAATGTTTTTGTCATTAATTTCGCTCATTTTAGCCAATTATCATTAATTGAAAGATATTTTACTTGCTTCTAAAGATTTCTAGAAAATTTATCACAAATAACCCATCTGTTTTATAAATTAAATTGATATTTTTATTTTGGTCGTGTAAATTAAATAGATATTTTTATTTTGGTCGTGTAAATTAAATAGATATGAAATCCATGTAACTAATTTTAATTTAATTAGATTAAATCAAAATTATGATATTTTCATACCTATAACTTACCAAAGAAGTTTAATTTTCAATTTATAAAGATTTCTTGAATATGATTTTAGAATTATTCAACAAGATGATAAGTATTTATTAAATTTTGTGAATCATGAAAAATAATAATTAATTTTCAATCATTATACTTCATCTTTCAATCTATCATCTAACAAATAAGATACATATTCTATTATTTCTATGTCCAAACTTCATTTTGTTGTATGACTAAATAATATTCCAATTAGAACTGTCAAAGCGAGTTGATTCGTCCCGTTAAATCCGTTTTGCGATAGACAAAAAATATTTTGACTTGTAGTTAGTCGGTCCACACGACCCGCAGGTAGCATATATGAAATACAAACCCGTCCCGCGAATGTATGCGGATTTGCGGGATTGTCCATGGATTTTGTTTAAATAATTTTAAAGTAACCAAAATTTAAAATACTACTAAAATAAATAAATAAATAAAAATACTATTAAAAGTTTGTTTAAATTACCACATGTTGAATAAATTACAATTTTATCAATAAATACTAATATGCGGGCTGATCCGCCAACCTGCGGATGAAAACCGATTAAACCTATGACCCACTGCGAATTAATCCATGTGGCCCACTTATTTGCGGGTTTAATATATTTTCCCAAATCTGCCCCATAGTGAGATGATGTGGGCTCGACCCGCGGTTTTTGACCTATTTTGACTGCTTTAATTCCCATGAATCGTCTAATTTTAGAATTTTAAAACACAAAATTCTATTTTTTAAATCATAATTAATACGATGAGTATATTTATAAACAATTTTACATTTTCTCTACAATTCGTTATTATGAATATTTATAATTATACTACACGATTCGTTCTACTAAAAAACACACACAATATTAAACGCAACGTTTGTAAACCAATATTCTCTCGCGGTGAACCGCGGGTCCGATCCTAGTCCAGTAACATATGACAATTGTTTGTGTATATATGTTCATCATATATGACTATAGTTCGTGCTGAAATATACTTTTATATTTTTGAAACAATATATTTTCTAGACTCCTCTTCTTTTTTTCACATTTTTCACATAATACTAGGTAAGAACCCGTACCATGCAAGGATAAGTTTTATGATATAACGATTTAAAAAAAAAATCAAAGTTTTATATGAATCTCGAGATGTCAAAACTAAATTTTCTAAATGCGCTAAAATATTTTGAATTAAAATAATATTGTATAAATACCATGTAATAACACGACTTTTTAATCTATAAATAAATTTACAAGTTAAATATCAAATATTTTATTGATTTATATTAATAAAAGAAAATTGTATTTACATCATTCATAAATTTTGACTTATAGATTTGATTTAAATTTAAATGTTTATAATATATGAAAGAATTTTTCGGTGTTAAAATGCATATACTATATGTTTGTATTGTTTAGTTTTTTCAATTAAAAAAAAAGAACACAATGCATTTAATAAAAAAAATTTATATAGAATTTTTCTTACAAGTAAAGATATCTTATAATAATCATATTATGTATACATAAATCTATGAGAACTGAATTTTGAAGAAAAAAGGATAAAATCAAGTAGCATTTGATAAATATTATATATATATATATATATATATATATATATATATATATATATTATTACTTAACGAATATTTTCTGATACTTTTTGATGATGTTGTGTTTACCCATATATAATTTTTACTTTTCAATAATAATATAACTTTTTTTGTTCTCCGATAGCTTGTTAACATTTTTAATTTATCCAATCATATACTTTATGCATATCAACCGATTTTCTTATTCCACCTTCTTTCTTTAAATAGATTCCATCTTCTCTGGCTCTCCAATCCCAATCGGCTCCATTATCATAACCAGTATATTGCTTAAATGCTGTAAAATTTTGATAGTGTTTATAATTAGGTCCTTGTTTCAATGTACACATGAAACGAGTCGTACCCCAAATGTTAGCACGAAAAGAATTTTCATATTGCTGTCCGATTGATAGTACTTTTGGACCTATTACGTCATCTTTGGAATAACACCTCATCCAGAGGAGTTTCTTGAATTGGAGTTCGTTCGTGATTGTGATTCCAGTGCCGGATACATGGCCAAGAATGTAAATGCTAAAAACAAATAGAAATACTGAAAGGTTTTTCATTATTTTATTTTTATTGTTCTGGTTAGATGTTTAGATGTTTTGTTTTATTAACTTGGTTTTTGTGTTTCTGGTACTATATATACACACACATATGTATTACTATTGTTGGCACAAGATATCCTTCTGTATTTGTTCCAAGTTATAACAGATATCATATGATATCTTACATGTGAAGAGGCCGAAGTATACATAAATCTATCGGAATTGAATTTTGAAGATAAAAGGATAAACCAAGTTAACATTTATGGAAATCAATTATAACCATCAAGAAAAAAAATTAAAATATAAAAAATACAATTTCTTATTGATAAATATATTTGTTTATATATTTTTTTATTACTATAGACAGTCAGAAATCCCAACTGATATTATGAATTCAAATAAATTTATTATCTAAATTATAACACATTTACTCAATTTTAAATTTTGATTCCAAAGATATAAACAATCAAAACTTATGAAGTGTCAACACTCCCAAAGAAAACAAAGCCATCATTATGGGAGCTGCCGTAGTTAAGTTTATCATATTCGTGAGTTAAATCATAGAAATCGCAAGCATAGCCAATAGGCAATAACTAACAAGCGAGATAGCATGAGAGAACACTATCCTCTTGGGTTTTATGTGTTTGGCTCACCCCACAAGATCTTCCCTCCCACATGGCAAAACCATAGCCTCTATATATCTCTTCCACGTAAATTAAGTTTGTGGAAATCTAAAATCAACCAATAAGAACTCGCTGACGTGTCCCTTTGACAATCTTCGCCAAAAATGAACATTCTACTATAAAAACGAAGTTCCAAATCACTAACATAACACAACAACAACATCTCATCTCACTTATTACTTCTTTTCTTTGTGTTCTTGTTTAGAAGAAGCAATGGCCACTTCAGCAATCCAATACTCTTCTTTCACCGGCCAAACAGCCCTAAAGCCATCCAACGATCTCCTCCGCAAGGTCGGAGCCTCCAATGGTGGCGGCCGCGTCATCATGCGTCGTACCGTCAAGTCTACTCCTCAGAGCATCTGGTTCCAACCCAAATCTCTCTCTCTCTCTCACTTATCTTTGTTATTCTTGAAAGAGATTTTCCATTTAAATACAAATGCCTGCAATTCATTGTGGGTTTCATTTTGAGTTTTTTTTTGCTTTAGAAGTATTTTAAACAATGAAAACTGAATCTACTATAGATTGGTTTGGGTTCAAGATTTCACTTTCCATTTTTAAAAAAGTTGAAAATACTTTGAAATATGTCTTTCTTTATTCGAATTCGGTTTCGGCTTTTTGGATCCATTTTAATCATATTATACTCATTTCAATTTTTCTATTGGTACTTTTGGTTTGGTTTTGGATCGAATTAGACTGGTTTATCTGGACTAAACAATCCGTCAGTTTTTGTTTCCTCATTTTTAGTATAGCTAATTAGCAAACCATCTAATTAGTATCCAACAAAAAAACTTGTGACAGGTACGGACCAGACCGTCCCAAATACCTAGGACCATTCTCGGAAAACACACCATCATACCTAACCGGAGAATACCCTGGAGACTACGGCTGGGACACGGCCGGTCTCTCAGCCGATCCAGAAACATTCGCTAAGAACCGTGAGCTCGAGGTCATCCACAGTAGATGGGCAATGTTAGGCGCTTTAGGCTGCACCTTCCCTGAAATTCTCTCCAAAAACGGAGTCAAATTCGGTGAAGCCGTGTGGTTCAAGGCAGGATCTCAAATCTTCTCAGAAGGAGGACTTGATTACCTAGGAAGCCCTAACTTGATCCACGCGCAAAGCATATTAGCTATTTGGGCTTGTCAAGTTGTGCTCATGGGCTTCATTGAAGGCTACAGAATCGGAGGTGGGCCTCTTGGTGAGGGGCTTGATCCGCTTTACCCAGGCGGGGCGTTTGACCCGTTGAACTTAGCAGAAGATCCAGAAGCGTTCTCGGAATTGAAGGTGAAGGAGCTCAAAAACGGTCGTCTTGCAATGTTCTCAATGTTTGGATTCTTTGTTCAAGCCATTGTTACCGGTAAAGGTCCGATAGAGAATCTGTTCGATCACATTGCAGACCCTGTGGCTAACAACGCTTGGGCTTACGCCACCAACTTTGTCCCCGGAAAATAGAGTTTGATCGGATAATTTATGTAAATTATATCTTTTAAGAATTTGTCAATGCACTAAAGTTAAAGTATCCTTATATTTGATAAGTTGGTTCCATTCCATATTCTTGCTTTGGTCAGAAATTCTCGTTAGCTAGCAACTTGGCACAATCACAAAAAGTACGTTTAAAAAGGCTTAAACATTAAAAGACATTTATACAAACTATCATGGATTTCGATGGTCCTGGCTTATGATAGTTTATTTTATTTTTTTGGCTGGTAACAAAAAAAAAGGCTTGAGGCATTGAATTACAATTGTTTTTTTTTTTCTTTTCAAATCTACAACTGTTCCTTTATGAATGTTAAAATTGAAAGAAAAAACAATGTACAATAGTTGCAAGATCCCAATCTAGGAAAAAAAAATACAAGTCTACCAAACATAGAATAAACTTTCAAAATGGCTTCCGATTCTGGATTCCACACCATTTTTTCTAAAGGACAAGGAAATAAAATGTCCTGACTATATACAACAGGAATCGAAATAATTTTAGTAGCTAATAACTGAAAAAGGAACAAAGATCTGCAGATACAAAGACCCAACCAAATGTTCTTGGAAGGCCAAATGTAACAATACATTTTTTTTTTGCCTTCTCGTTTCTCTCTTTTCTTTTTTCACATTATACTATCGAAAAAAAGGAAAAAAAAAATACTTAGATATATATATCTTTTGCTACCAACAAATATTAACGTCTCACGAATTGGCTAAAAAGCCTAAATCGGAGAAAAAGATCACTAAATAACCAGATCCAAGATCAAAAGATATGGTTTCTGAGACAAAAAGATTACCTCACTGATGAATTTGTTCAGACTGTTCTTCATCAGTTCCTGCAGTTGCAATCGCATCAGAAGCTCCTTCCATGGACTCGTGGTTACTTTTATTGTTATCATTGTCGCTTTCTTTGGTCTCTTGTTTATCCAAAGTACTGTCGTTGTCTCCAGAAACATTTGTAGTCTCTGGTTCTTCTGTAGAGGAGGCCTTGACTTCAACAGCTGGTTTTGGGTCATTAGAGACAGAAGCACACTTGTTTTTGCTGCTAAGGTGGTCATGAGAAACAGAGAGACTATTACTATTGTTATTGTTATTATTGCTCACTTTGTTGCTTTGACGTGTTACCCACACGAGCTGCAACGTGTGTTCTTGCCAACACTTTGCATTAGCAAACGCTTTCTCTGCTGCGATGCGTTTCACAAATGTGACACAAGCTGCACGGTTTTCGTTCTGTGTTTCATGGTCCTTGCCACTACCAATCGATGCATTGTCTTCCAGTTCCACTTTTGAGACTTCGCCGTAAGAAGAAAAATGTTCCTTTAAGACAGCAACCTGGAGGTAAAAAAATAGTTCAAAACATCAGTAAGTGAGTCAGTGACTAAAATAATCCTGTAATTTAGTCGTCTTTAATCTGGGAAGTGAGAAAGTTTAGCAAATATATAAAGCTTGGTGTTCTAACAAAGGGAAAGGGAACATACATCAGCTAACCCAGTTGGCAAAGGGGGAACCACCTTGATGGTCGTGGTGCGGTTGTCCAACTTGTACCTATTTACCATAGGAGTGTTCAAACTTGTGGTAAACGTATATGGTCTTTGCTTCAAGTTTTTTGAATCGGGTGATGGCGTTTCTGTGCTTAGTTTGCCGCTGGAAAGTGGTTTCTGGATAGGCACTTTCTTATCTGTCGATGACTCTGGTTTTGGTGATGCAATTGCAGCTCCCGAATCAGAGGCTGTGTCTACTTTAACACGCTTAGCGTCTGGCTCATCTACTTCCTCGCCCTTGACAACCGTACCCTGAGAAGATTTAGAGCAAGTTAATATGAATGTTCTCCAATTATATACATTTCAACTCAATCTATGTGATGTTAAGTACGACGATCAACAATTTTGTTTCTATTGTAGAAATCATTAGCTGAAGACATCCAAAAGCAAATATAATATATCACGATGCATGTAAATCTACTCAAATCTCTGTGTGGACCGAACTCAGTTTTATATTATAGTCAGAAGTCAGATTTGCACTTGTCTACCATTTTACACTTCTTAAATTTCCAAAAGACACTTTCGAGATTCAATCCTTTTACTTCTACTTCTGCTAAACTTTCCAGAGACTGGAAAATTGTAATTATCCATTAAAAAGGTATTACCGGGACTGAAGAAAAAAATGAAAAGAGATTTAGTTACTAGTTCTTACTTGTTTTTCAAGTGTCGCCAATTTTTTTCGGTACTCGTTACGCTTCTGCTCCAGCATTTCCTGTTTTTTACGAAGAGTCTCCTTCAACCGCTCAAGAGTATCTGCTTTTTTCTGCTGAAGCGGCGTAACCTTGGAACCACTAGTGGCCACCACAGGCTTAGGCTGTTCAGAAGAGGATGGAGCTCCACCAGTGTGGAATGCAGGGACCTTAGCAATGGAAGATACATGGTTGCTTTTCGATGCTGCAGCAAAAGGAAATTGGTTCTGCGGTCCAGAAGCAGTCATACCACGACCCTTCATAGAAGCACCATTGCCAGTGGACAGGCCATTATCAGGTATACTATCTCTATTTGCCCACCAAAGTTTGATAAAGCGGTTACCCATCACAGCATCAGGTGCCCTGAGGGCAGATTCAGCCTCTTCACGTTTTGAGAACTGCACAAATGCTCGCTCACTATTTACTGGGATGTGAATGTCAATAACTTTCCCAAATTTCTGAAAATGAGCAAGAATGAGATCCCTTCTGTTGCTCTCGTGGGGAACATTATTCACAAATAGAGTCCGCATTGCCTTTTGAGTTGGTTTCCTTGTATTGTTCATCATATCATTTGAAATATTCGATGAATCAACAACTTTTGCGACACTTTCACCAACATGGTTTTGTTTACCGTGTCGAGATGAATTAACTGAGACCTCCTTCAATTGATCTTCAGGACCAGCTGATGAATTTAATACTGCATCAGCTTTCTCTTTGGAATTTGCTTGACTATTAGAACCACGCATTCTTCCCCAAACTGATTGACTTATGCTTCTAGAGTCTCGAATACCACACCCATTTTCAGTGCCGTCTCGGTTACTGTCATCCAGTGGAGCTACATTCTCATCAACCCCATGAGAATTGAGTGTCGATATTGCACCTGAAG